GAGTAGCCGAGCCTTCTCGGTGATCTCCGTGAACCTCCGACGATCTCTTCGGTGAACTTCCGATAGGTTCCCGATTTCTTCTCGGTTGGTTCCGGCAGCATCTCCGACGATTCTTCGGACTCTTAAACGTCCATCGATCTTGACTTCGGTATTCTTGCTTTGTGTTTTCTGGTTATCGTAGTTAATCCTGCACACTTAACTCAATAATATGGATTAGATCAATTAACCCATCAATTGATCTCATTATCAAAATCCGAGATTCAACAAAGGGAACCCACGTGATTGTGGCGCGGCTGAAACAAGGGCAGAGCAAGTGTGCTCTGTTTCAGTTAGATGCAGAGCAAGGTGTGGCGCGGCTGAAACAAGGGCAGAGCAAGTGTGCTATGTTTCGGTCGCTGTGAAGAGGGGGGGGCAACCGGCGGTTGCGGCTGCGACCCGAGGGGGGGGGGGCGGGGGCGTGGTGGCAGAGAAGTTAGGGCAGTGTCGCTGAGAGTCTCAACGACGAAGGGGTGGTCCGTTGGTAGGGAGACAACGCTAGTGAACCTTCTCGCTCGAGCGAGACAGGAAAGCGAGGAGGAGAGGTCGCCGGCTGGGGGGCAGCGGCGGTGTTGGTCGATCGGCTGGGAAGCAGCGCTAGCGGTGGAAAGGAGGCAGCAAGGGAGGGCGAGGCCTACCGGAGAGCAGGGGCGGCGGTGGGCTGGCCGCAAGCAGAGGAAGCAGGGGTGCGTGGCTGCGGCTTCTTCTTATTCTCTCTCTACTTTCTCTCTTCCTTTCCTTTTTTTTTTTAGTTACGTTGCAGCGGGAACGCCAAGGATCGCTGCTCTGATACCAATTGATAAGACCCTAAAGTCTTACCGTAAAAAATAAGAAGAGAAAGGGATGATCACTTCGAGGGGATCGACCTCCTAGGGTTTGTCAAAAGACAAAATAGTATTTGTCATAAAATGATCGAAAAGAAGCAGTTACATCTCTATTTTAGAGTTTCGACTTTAGCTAAACTAAAAAGACTTAATAAATACGCAGAAAATAAAAGGAAAGCACAGAAAATAAAAGGAAAAATAAAAGGATCCTAACACGGCGACCCCCGGTGCGCATCGTCCCTTGGCTCTCCTTTTGAGGTGTGGACCTCCTTCTGCACTTCTTCGAGTTGTTGATTGAGAAGGCGCAGCTGGGCCCGGAAGGAGTCCGTTGAGTCTGAAGATACTGCCTCATGCTCGGGTCGGCCGGCAAGGTTTCCCCCTACCTGATCTCCAAGGCAAAATGCTCGGGTCTGGGGTGAACCAGGGAGCACCGAGGTTGTCATGTGAACCGGTGCAGATGGCTCTAGTCGGCACGTAAGGTGGGCCACCGATGGGTTTGTTGATTGGGAAATGAGCGGGATGACGGTCTGCACCATTCCCGCCAAGGTTCGGACCTGAAGGGCAAGGTCCTGAAAGGCTTCGGATGACACGAGCGAAGGGACGCTCGAAGCGCCCTCGGGCGGAAGCAGACCTGGGTCGTTGAACAAACGCCAGTAGCGTTCCGAGGTTGTGACGAGGTCGTCAGCCCGTGGCCTGCCACGCGAGGGGCGCTCGGCCGGCACCCCTGTTAAGAACGATCCCTCGGCAAGGAGTTCGTCGGGGTCAGTCTAAGGGTCCCTCGACATTCATGCCCTCCTTCTAGCGCCAATCTGTTCGTGTAAACAACTTTACGCCGTGGCCTCGGGGCCGACACGGCTCGTTTCGGGTTCGAATGACGGGGATCCTGCCGAAGGTCTCTTGGGGTTGCCGACGGGGGTGCCAGAGCGGATCGGGCAGCGTCGGGGCTCACCGGGACATCCTACGAGGAAGGGTCCCTCTCCACGGCATTGGCGAAGAGGTGGCTGCACACAGGTCGGGTCGGAACTCGGCCCGACCCCTCCAACGACCAAGTCAAGTGATGTGTAGAGGTCTGTTTTGTGTGTGTCTTTTTTCTCCCCCCTTTCCCGTTTAGCATGCAAGGGTATTTATAGGGAAGCTTACTATGCCCGCTTGCATGAGGCAGGCTCGTACTCCTGATAGCGTCTGACACTAGCGGTGGCGTGGTGTGGAGGGCCGAGTCTGAGCAGGTCGTTAACGCGCCTCGGTCGGCGTTCCGATCGTTTGACTAGGTGCTATCGGGTCAATCGAGGCGTGAGGTGTCATTTGGGACAGCTGACGTCAGGCCGAGTCTTGTCGCCATTATTATCCTCATCAATATATATATATATATGTGTATATATATATATGTGTGTATATATATATATGTGTGTATATATATATATGTGTATATATATATATATATATATATATGTGTATATATATATATGTGTATATATATATATATGTATATATATATATATATATATATATACACATATATATATATATATACACATATATATATATATATACACATATATATATATATATATA